TATGTTTCATTCGACAAGAAGGTTAAGTTGTGTGATTGTAAGGAGAAGAATTTGGTTCATTTCTTGCTATTAGATTACGACCGCTAAACAGCAGAATTTGCGATTAAGTAACAGATCACGGTTTTTCTTTGCTTTGAAATCATTCCTAGCAAAATTTATCCGACCGGTAATAATGTTGGGTTCACATTTAATGATGTATCCGCAGAGAAAAGGAGGTACAACTTCAAAGGCATTTGATAGTCTATACTTTCGCTCAGCGAAATAACATATTAAAAAGGGGGAATTTCCTTAACTAGATATTTTTCGATCAAAGTCCCTTTGCCCCAAAAAGGAGGAGAGCCTTCGATGATGGCATTGAGGAACATTGATGGTAGCTAACATAGTAGCCTCAGCCGCGATGAAGTCTCTGAACACTTTTTTCTCTTAATAATCGCCTTTTTGATGTCAAACGATGTTCTTTCGGACACAGCGAGGTTGGCTTACAGAAAAAATCGCTCCTAATTCGTAGCTAATACTGAGGGTGTAGAGCTTTCAAAGCAAAAGGAGAATCCGAAGTGTTATTCACGCATAGCAAATTTCTCAGAGGAAGAAGGAGCTCCCGGCGTAGCCGGGCGAACCCTCAAGAAGGAGGGAAGCCTGGCGTTAGCCGGGCGGCCCGACTGGTTAAGAAATAAAGCAACTTGAAGGCATCACTGAGCTGAAGAAAACAATAGTCGATGCCTGGCACCAAGATGACCAGGAACTCATGGATCGCCCTTACTTTAGCTTGAATATTGTATTTACGAGGTTGTTTGAAGGAATAGGGGCCCAACTGATTATTTACCACACGACTTTCTGTCTTTGTTATCATTTAGCTATGGAAGGAATTGATTTAATTAGTGGCTGTATCGTTTCGAAAGATAGGCGACGTTACCGTTCCAAAAAGGGTGAAGGGAAGTATCAGTTATCGAGGTGGAACCCAAACTTGTTAACAATCTTCGCTTTCTCCCCAACTCCTGGTTGCGGTGTCCAGTCCTTTGTCCCACCAGAAGTATTCTCATCTCGCCGCCTGCATTCCTACCAAGGTTGACCCCTCTAGATCTACAGGAACAGCATGTTAGGAGTTGCCGGTCACACACGCACATACAGATATACACACACATATATGTATGTTATATATACATATACAGTGCGTTTCATAATTATAAGATCACCGTCGATTTTTGCGATTCTAGAGAAAGCAGCCAGAATGGAATTTTTCGCGAACACTGGTAGATTCCTAATCACAATGTACCACCGTATTCAAATTTTGTTCGAAATATCCTTCACCTCAAATTTTTCATGATTTTTTTAAAGATAGTGTCGGTTTTTGCACCGATTCATAATTACCAGTCATACCGCCCGGCTAACGCCAGGCTTCCCTCCTTTTTATGGGTTCGCCCGGCTACGCCGGGCGCTCCTTCTCCCTGTGAGAAATTTGCTTTGCGTAAATAACGCTTCGGATTCACCTTTTGCTTTGAAAGCTCTACACCCTCAGTATTAGCTCCGAATTGGGAGCGATTTTCATGCAAGCCTCTGTGTCCGAAAGAACATCGTTTAATATCGCAAAGGCGATTATTCAGAGAAAAAAGTATTCAGAGACTTCATCGCGGCTGAGGCTACTATGTTAGCTACCATCAATGTTCCTCAACGCCATCATCAAGGGCCTCCTCCTTCTTGGGGCAAAGGGACTTTGCCCAGAAAATAACGAGTTAATGAAATTATCCCTTTTTAGTATATTATTTCGCTTTTTCGCTGGGCGAGAGTGTAGACTATCAAATGCCTTCGAAGATGTACCTCCTTTTCTCTACAGATACATCATTAAATGTGAATCCAACATTATTATCGGTCGGATAAATTTTGCTAAGAATTATATCGAAGCAAAGAGAAACCGTGATCTTTTAATTAATCGCAACTCTGCTGGGTAGCGGTCGTAATCTAATAGCAAGAAGTGAACCAAATTCATCTCCCTATAATTACACAACTTAACCTTCTTGTCGAATGAAACATATCAAAAAGTCAAAGCTAGATCGTAAATAACAAAGGCGCTAGGAGGTAATTGTTGTGTGGATCTTCTTATCTAAGGCCTCTTCTACTGTCAGCGTTCCCATCGTGCCCTCTCCTACTGATTGCTCTCCAAGTCTACGGGATCA